TGATGTTTCCTTGTGTTCTTGAAAGATTTTGTAATTATTTTTACATTGCAGAAGTATCCAGTTTCCTTGTTCTGTAATTATTTCTAATGCATGAATGAATGGGATCCAATTTTCAAACTTATACCAATTGGATTCGTTTCTTTTTCTTTTATTCTTACAAACAAAACAAAAATCCCATCAAATCAAATACACTGAAGCCATAGATTGAAGCTTCTAAGAATCAACAACTTAAATTGAGCTCTGAGCTCTCTCTCCCTATCTCTCTAACAGTTCATATATATTGAAAGAATTCGAATATATTTGAAGCGTATAGCCGAGCGGCTATACAGTATAGCCGACGGGCCATACTATCTAATATTTGAATGCATTCAAACGGTATAGCCGGACGGCTATACTATTAAATATTCGAATATATTTAAAGAGTATACCGCTTGGCTATACAATTAAAACATTCGAATATATTGAAAGCGTATAGCCGCGCGGCTGTACGATTAAAATATTCAAATGCATTCGGAGCGTATAGCCGAACGGCTATACGATTAAAATATTCCAATGTATTTTACGAGTATAGCCGTGCGGCCATAATATTAAACTATTATAATAATCAAAAGGTATACCCGCGAGGCTGTACTATTAAATATTCGAATATATGTAACATGTATAGCCGAGCGGCTATACCATTTAAATATTAACGTATAGCCGCTCGGCTGTACTATTTAATATCGGAATATATTCAAGGGGTATAGCCGAACGGCTAAACTATCAAACTATTCGAATATATTAAAAAATTATAGCCGCCCTGCGATACTGTTTAAATATTCTGGTACATTTAAAGAGTATAGCCGCCCGGCCATACCATTAAATATTCGAATATTAATTTTATTTTATTTCGAAAATATTTAAACTGTATTAGCAGCTTTTGTTTATTCCCCAGAACTTGGGCTGCAAGCTTCTTTCGCAATCCCACTGACTTCCCCAGCATCACATATATGGGTAGTAGCTTGCCTGTCAAATAAAGTTGCCCCTTCCATGGTGTCTATATAATCCTGTAAAAGGTACAGCCGTTTAGAATTAACAACACGTAAACAATAAAGCATTCAATTTTCCAAAACACATGCAACTAACTTAATTGCTAAACGGCATAATTTTCTGAACCCCTCCTTTGCTTTTTGTTTTTGAGCAGGAACAAAATGATAGGCCTGAGTAAAGCAGTCTTGTTTCTGATGTGTTTTCTTTGATTTACCATTAGCTAAGAAGAACATGAATATTTTGTAATTATTTTTACATTGCTGAAGTATCCAATTTCCTTGTTCAGAAATAGTATATATATTTACAGAACCTTCACGAATCACTTCAATGCACTTCACTTCAATGCACTTCGGAAAATTAAGATAACATGCAGTCAACCCTAAAATAACAGAAATGCTCATTTTGAAATATGAAGATTTTATTATACATTCGAAGAAATCGAAGCTCATTTAAAAGTACAAGATGATAAGGTTGCATTATTAGTGTGGCATAGTTTTATTTTTTTTCCAACAATCATTTTAATCTTGTCTCTCTGTCTGTCTTCTCTAGCATTGTAGTTTCTGGTTTTGTACAATGCAACTCTTTTCCCAACTGTGTCACATGATGATGGGCTTGAGTAAGAATCCTTCTTTGTAATGTAACTGTACTTAATTTTACATTGCAGAAGATGTACCCTTGTTCTGAAATTTCAATTTAAAATATTATATTTTTCACCAAAGAAACAATAATTAAAATATAATTAGTAATTAAAGTAATTAAAAAAAAACTAAGATATTACTTAATTACATATATTAAATTAAAGAAGTTGGCACAAAAAAAAAGTTAAGAAACTAATTTAACGAGTATAGCCGCTCGGCGATACTTTTTAAATATTATAGCCCGCGGCTGTACTTTTAAAATTTCTATGTATAGCGTAGAGCCGTGCGGCTATGTTGTCATTAAAATATTGTATTTAAAGAGTATAGCCGCACGGCTATACCTTTATAATTTCTATTTATAGAATATAGCCGCGCGGCCCAACTGTAAAATTTTTCTGCTTATAGAGTAAAGCCGCTATACACATTCCTTCCCAAATTCCCCAGCTACAACATCATGCTTACTTTGAACCGGAATTCGTGCAGACATACAAGATCAGAGAATCTCCAGACTACCTTATTGTTCTTTTATCTCCCTGCAAATCAACATGATACATCAATTCAGATGAACAAAAATAGCACCAACCAATAAGGAAAGTCCCATATAAATTACAAAAAATTTCCACAATCTGGCAAGTTTTCTTTTCGTCTGTTTTGGACTTAACATCTAGCAAGTTTAACTAAACAAATTTCAGATTACGCCGAGACATGACACAAAAATAAAGAAAAATGATATATGACCATTAAAGATTACGCCGAAACCTCTTTACATGGATACTCTTCCACATCGCGCTGATTCCAAGGTTGAAGTAAAACCCAGTTCATAGGTGGAGACAATGCTATCCTCGAAAGATTCTTGTACGGTTACATCATTAATGGTTGAGGCGTTTGGTGCATCTCTAAGCATCTTTCAGTCTTTCTCAATCCTTCTAGCTCCATTGACACCTCTCTCATTGTTGGTCTCTTTTTTCCATTTGATCTTAAGCATCTGGTTGCAAGCCTTGCAATGGCATCAATATCCTTTAGCTCTGCGTCTCCAGCCAATCGAGGATCCAAAATCTGATGAACTTGATTCTCCTTCGCCAAAGAAACGAAGTGCATGATAAGATTTCTCCCATCATCTCTTCTCTAGTAAAAGAAATTGGCTGCTTGCTTGTCAGAAGCTCTACAAGCATAACCCCAAAGCTATAGACGTCACTATTTTTTTTTTTTGGTAAAATAGACGTCACTATTTCTCTGTGAACCTATTTGACTGGAAGTACTCTGGATCAATGTACCCAAAAGTACCCTGCACTGTCAAGGTTAAGTGAGTTTGGTCATAAGGAATGGATATTGAAGTCCCAAAATCAGATACTTTTGCACTAAACTTGTCCTTCAAGAGTACGTTAGACGATTTGATGTCACGATGAAGAATGGAGCTTGATGCTTGCTGAGTGCAGATGTGCTACTGCACCAGCAACTTCACATGCAATTCGTAGACGAGTATCCCATGAGAGGGCTGGTTTAAGCTGGTCTTTAGCATGAAGATGATGAGAGAGAGTTCCATTGGAGACGAACTTATACACTAGTAATGGAACCTCAGTCTCCAAGCCACAAACCAGCAATTTCACTATGTTTCGGTGATTTATTTGGGATAAGATGTAAACTTCATTTATGAATTGCTCAATTCTATTTTGATTGATTACTTTTGACCTCTTAACAGCAACTGTGCTGCCATCAAGTAACATTCCTTTGTAAACTGTGCCATAGCCTTCCTGACCAAGAAACCGGCTCTCGTTGAAATTATCTGTCGCTTCCGGCAGCTCTTCTGCAGTAAAGATCTTTGCCAGTACTGTAGTGTTGTTAGCATGGAATTTTTGTTGCAACAAGTAGCCACCATTTTGCTTGAAGAACTTTTCTTTGCGAATTTTTCATCTTCTTCTCTTCAGGGATTGATGTAACTTGTAACCCAAAGGAAACAAGCATAAGAATACAGTCCCAAGGCAAACACCTAAAGTTAATTTACAGATAAAGCAATATGTCCACCAAATTAGTTGTTGTTCCAAATCGAAATGAAATAATTCCACATGGTTATGAAGCAAACAATGCAGGTTTTTCATTTAAATGAAAACATAACCTGGTGAAGAGTTGTCCAAGCCATACCTAAGATAACCTGACTGCCTTTGAACCGTTTACTACCACATATGCAACCGAAATCCCGACTGCCCATCCACTATGGTGACGGTCGTTCACGGGCATAATGATTTAGTCCCAGCTGGATTTGCAGTGCAAATTTCATGTTTTAGTGGAACCAAAATAGGAGTAAATGAGGAGATGGTGCTGCTCCATGACAACATATTTGCATCTAGTACACTGTGCACATCTACCCCAAACTTTTCTCCAATCAGTGTTACTGTGTCATTCCAGGTCACCATGTAAGTCAGCAGGGAGATCACCCCATTTTCCATTTGCTTTGCACTAGGACATGCACATCTCAACGCAACTTTCAGCTCTGCTCCGGCTTTCCATTTTCATAATAATGGTTTTGGTCTCTCAAGGCCTGGCAAGTATTCAGGCCTTGGTATGTATCATTGGCTACATGGAAGTATTTTTTGGAACTGTTGAAAACAGTGTAAGGCGCTACATGCTGATAAATAGACGTCCCAGAGCATGAACGTGGGGGGACCGGAACGATAATGGACTTGTTAGGGGGAATTTTACCATGATCATCATCAGATGAGATGTGGTTACATGAGGCTACGCTGGAAGCTTCAGCACCGAGGAGACGGGCGACGCTAATGGGGTCCTCGTAGGGTGGCTGGGATCTGGAGGTGACATAGGAAGATCTGCATGAGTTTAGAGGGCCTTCATTGCAGTTGTAGCCTTTTGATATGGAAGAGGTGTCTGAGCGGTCAAGCTGTTTGTTGCCTATGTACTCTTGTGTGCAGTTTCTTGATTTACCTCCTTCACCTTACTTTATTGTGGGTTTTCCTTTTTCTAATCCTATCATCATTTTTGTCAATCTTTTTTAATCAATGGGAGATGAGGGAATTTGAATTGGGACCTCTTCCTAATTATATAATCTTAAAAAACTCAAAATTCTTTTCCCACCGAAAAAAAATTAATCCGGAACTCTCCAGTTGGGTTTTGGAATTGATTTCAAAATCTTTACGGGCTGGCTAGTCCAAGCATATGGTTTGCCCAAAACCAGTTGGGCTTGATCTTAGGTCTTTCGCCCATAAACTTCTTTGGGCTCCAAAATTGAATCCAGACTTCGCTCTCTATCCGGGTCAGCCCGGTTCTCTCTGTGTATTTCGGTTCGGCCATCATCACGAACAGCACCTCTCGACCTGTCTCTGTGATTTATTAAATTTAATTAATTAATTATTATTTTCTCTCCACTTTCTTTTCTTCTTTCTTTCTTTCCCAGATCCCATATGAATATGATATGGTCATTTCCAATTCCCAGATCCACCCTCACATCACATACATTCCTCTTGCTCCTCCTACACCGTCCGTAGGGTTTATCCAACTCGATCCGAGTCAACTCAGCCAACTGAAACTCGCTCTCCTTTTTATTTTATCACATAATAATAATATACATGAACCAGAGCCACTCAAGCAACAACAGCAGCAACAGCAACAGCCATGGTTCTAATAAGAAAATGGTAGTCATGGACGCCCAGCCTTCCCGACCCGGAAGGTCCCACAGCCGATCCAATTCCTGGGTCGGCTGGTGGTCCTCCTCCGCCTCCGTCGCCCCGCCCGAATTCGCGCCCCTCATACCCAAATCCGCATCCGACTCCGTGACCCGATCCGACTTCCAGCCTTACCTCGCCTCCATTTCCGATCACTACAACCGCTTCGAGGACATCATCAACCACGTCAAGAAGGAGAACTCGGACATCGACTCCATCGGCGGCCAAGGCGAAGCCCTCGTCGCCTGCCTCCGAGAAGTCCCCGCTCTCTATTTCAAAGAAGACTTTGCCCTAGAAGACGGTGCCACATTTCGATCGGCCTGCCCGTTCACGAACGTCTCCGAGAATCTGGTGCTCCAGGAGAAGCTCTCGCATTACTTGGACGTCGTGGAGCTTCACTTGGTGAAAGAGATCTCGCTGCGTTCCAACTCCTTCTTCGAGGCTCAGGGGCAGTTGCAGGACTTGAATGTGAAGATCATCGAAGGATGTAGTCGGATTCGCGAGCTCAAGGAGACCATTCTGCTCTTGGATGTCGATTTGGTTGAGTGCGCCAGGCAGATTCATGATTTGAATGAAACCAGGAGTAATTTGTTGGCTCTTCAACAGAAATTGAGGCTCATTCTTTATGTCAACCAAGCTCTTTCCGCGCTTAAACTGGTTGGTATTCCATTGCGCTTTAAAACCTTCCATTCATTTTTTTAGTTCACTTCGGTTTAGTAGTGGATTGAATTGTCCATGCTTTGCTAATCGGTAGCAGTATGGTCTAGAATCACTTCATTCAAAATTGCCAGTTGGTTACGTTTTGATTTTTAACTTTCTCCTGAGTAGATTCGCTTTATTTCAAGATGGTTCATAGTATAAAACTTAGCGACGCCTTACATTTCTGGCAAATACTAGTATCAGCCAATTGAAAGCACTGATATGTGATCGGGGATATTTCAAACAAATCTACTAAGATTATCTGTTTAAAATGGTTCATGTGATGCTAAAAATTATACTCCATATGAGATCTTCTGTTGTAATATTAACCCTTAACCTGTTGATGAAATGTCTAGTAGAATACATAAATTCAAACCCCGAATAGGATTATGCAAAATACACTCTAGCTGTGTGTAGAACTATTTCACGTGATTGTTGTGCATTTCTTCCTTTTCTATTAGAAATGCTCATGACTCATCAGCTGAGGAGTTTTATAAAAATTTATATGGTTATTACCATAAGTAGCAAGTTTCTTGATATAAGTTGATCTACTTTTTCTGTCATACAGCTTGTTGCCTCTGCAGATTGTGCTGGAGCTTTGGATGTCACAGATGATTTGCAGCATTTGCTGGTATAGTTGTATTTACTTTTTGTTTTATCTGATTCCACTAACCAGTGTGTTTAAACAGAGGAATGCAGTATACTGGACTACAATTTCTATGTACCTTACTGATGTTCTATGTGTTCAATAGGATGGGGATGAGCTTACTGGTCTACATTGCTTTCATCACCTCAGGGATCGCGTAGCAGCTTCAATTGAATCCATAAACAGGTATAATCTCCCATTGTGATGACACTAGTTATTAAAGAAATGAGTAACACTATTTGCATTGCTTTTAAAGAAATGAGTGACACGTTATGATGACATTGGTTAGCAGCTTCAATTGAATCCATAAATAGGTATAATCTCCCTAATTATGTGTGGATCTATACACTTGGGACTGAGGTTGGCAGGTTTTAATTTCTTTCTTCTGATAATCTGAACCCTAACAAGACGGTTGTTCCCTTAAGGAAAAGTAAACAGTAATTGTGTTGCAATTTGATATTTTGGAATAGATGTGCTTTGCTGAATTCAGTTTGACTGAGTTATATTGACCAGAATATTGCTTGAATTCTACCTAAATAAACATTTTCTGCCTTTCAGATGGAAATAAGATGATACGAGGCATGTTTATAGTAACTTATTAAGTTTATTCTTGTAGCATTCTTTCTGCAGAGTTTATGCGTGCTTCAATACACGATGCTGGAGATACAGATGTTATAATTATATCCAGAGCGCAGGCAAGGGCGTCAATTCTCTTGAATGGAGAAGATGGTGAAGTAAGCTCAATTGCATATGCTTATTTAGTGCCTTTGAAAGGTGTTTTTTCTTCTTTGGTTTTAGTATGATACCCAAAACTCAAGTCTTTGTCTTGAATCGCATAATACTTTCTTTTATTTATTAAAAGTATATACTCTCCCAAGAGAGGCTGCTTTGCACTGATTTAAAAAAAAAGCTTATCACTAAGGTCTTTGTATTATTATTATTATTATTTTCCAGACCAGCTTGAATTGCTTACAGTTAAATTCATTATTGGAAGCACTATAAAAATTTCTTTGCAAATTTTATGCGGCACTTTATCTAATTTGATAGTAAGCTCATAAATTTGACTTTACAACAACAGTTTGTGAAGATGGGTCAAAAACCAGTGCCCTGGGCTAAGCCATCTTGCTAGTTTTGCTGAACCCTCCAAGAAAGGATTTGATTTAATGCAGACCATTTCCTTCAGCTATAAACCCTTTGTAGGATCTTTCATGAAATTAACTATTGTTATGCACGTAGAGTCCCTTGTCCAAAATTTGTTGTTTGTTGTTTGCATTTGTGATACCATGTGGCTGCTTTTCCAAGTTGATTTCCTTTATTGTGAATGTCAGGAGTTAGTGCAGGATTTTATATCTGAACTGATTGCTGCAATTGTCATGTTGGCAGATTAAGTTGGACGATGAAGAAACCTCCAATTATCAAGATCGTCTTCTTCCTGTCATCATTGGATTGCTTAGAACAGTGAGTCATTATGTTCTGTAGAACCTAATTTTTTCTTTCAGCCTATATTTTTATACATTTGGGGATGGAATTGTTTTCATTCTGTGATCAGTGAGTACAACATTAGATGGTTTCCTTTTACTTTCAGGCCAAGCTCCCTTCTGTGTTGAGGTTATATCGTGACCAGCTTACAGCTGACATGAAGGCAGCTATTAAAAATGCGGTTGCAGAGCTGCTTCCTGTTCTTGTTTCCCGACCCATGGAGTCAGACTTTACACCTGGAGAGCGAATAGTAGATGCAGATGGTGAGAAATTCATAATATTGTTTGTCTTTTATGCCCATGACTGAGAAGTTTACATTATACGAGAGAAAAAAGGGTTGAGGGTATAATGCTTAATTTTGGTGTTTACGTCCTGTGCCTTGTTCTTTACAGACAATTTTTCTTCTTTGATCATTAAAACATGGTTTTTTAGGTATTGGTGCATCACTTGCAAGCAAGTTGAGGAGCCTGTCATCTGAAAGCTTTGTTCAACTTTTAAGTGCTATTTTCCTGATTGTAAGGGTATGTGTTCTAGACTAAGCTCGTTTTGTTTTATAGGCTTTGGGTTGCTGAAAAAGCACATGCTCTTTAATATTATTGTTGAATTCCCAGTAAACTCACCATTCATTTGATTAAGATTTGGTTCGTGTCTGAAAGTTAAATTAGATGTTTCTTATAATAACAATGATTAGGGATGAAAGCAAGCTTTTATGATAGATTTGGCTGGGGTTTGTCTATTATGCGAAGTAGTCAATCTCCTACTCCTTCCTGAGCTCAAATAATTTAGCAGCCAGTGCAAGTGGCCATTAACTTCTATTTATTCCTACTTAAAAGTTTATTCCTTATGAGTTGCTGATTGCAGTCCCAGGTGCAATACATAAACTAATCTACACATTTTAATGTTTGGGAGTAATGTTTGAGTCTATCAGTCGAATTTTTTTGGGAGCATTAGGGACAATCAGCTGTAATGGTAGTGGTTCTCCAAAAATGATAAAAAAAGGGGTAGTGATCTCATCAACAAATCATTACATATATTATCTGTTTTTAGGTTGCTTGTTAAGTTATATATTAGATGGCATATGTGCTGAGTTTCATTCATATACTTGCGTGAGCTTCTTTCAGCATCAACCACTATTTGAGTGTGATGTCATATGATTTATTTTAGTGAATGCAGGCACATCTAGTGCGGGCTGCTGAAGTAAAGAAGGCCATCGAGTGGATTATGTGCAACCTTGATGGTCATTATGCAGCAGATTCAGTTGCTGCTGCAATCGCTGTTGGTGCCGCAGCTGCAGAAACAGCTCAAGAAAGTGATGGTCAAGGTGGTTTGCTTCCCTCGCTTTCACCTCAGAGAGTTGCTGCGAAGGCCCTTCCATTTCAAGGGAAAGCAAATGATGCAGCAAGTCCTTCAAACATGTCTAAGAATTTTAGGTGAGCTATTTTCTCCTGATCATGTTAGTTCTTTGATGTTACTCTTGTTTTCGTAGTTTGACGTCTAAAACTTTCCCATGCTTGAAAACCTTATATATCATGTAATTTTAAGATTTTGTTTTGTGCTAATCTTGTCGTGTAAATAAAATTTTGCCTTATGAATGTCCGCAATTTGTTGATTATGTATTCATTTCTATGGATGTGACGGTTACAAGTTCATTGTCGATGCATTTTGGATGTATTGTAGTGCAATTACAGTTATATTTTAAGTTTTTGTATGAGTGTTCTTTTCATCATAGCCAAAAGAAATAAATTTAACTGCATATACGATACCTTTTCGGGAGTGGTTATATTAATTATTGAAGATTTTGTATTCTGCCATCTACAATTAAGACCTTCATTTCATTTACGGAAGGCCACTTACTCTGCTTGTTTTCTCTAGCTGGCTTGTAGCCGGGCCTTCAGTGAACAATATTATTTGGTAGCACTGTGAGTGTTACAGGTCAAAATTTTGGCTCTCTCCAAATAAAACATGTGAATGTGCCATGGTTTTCTGTGTATCATAGTAATGTCCATTGCAGTGTGCATAGGTGGTGTCAAGATTGGTTTAGAATACTTTCTCTCAATTTCTTTTTCCTTCGAAGCTATTTCAATTTTCAAATTCAGAATTGATTGTATACCATCGGGTTTAATTTCTAAGGTCTAGCTTTGATTTGTTCCAAATATTAGAGTATTTCCTAACCTATACAATATTCTGAAACAATGCGATTCTAAACAGAGCTGATGTGTTACGGGAAAACACAGAAGCTGTTGTTGCAGCATGTGATGCTGCCCATGGAAGATGGGCAAAGCTACTTGGGGTTCGTGCTCTACTTCATCCTAAGTTGAGATTGCAGGAGTTTTTGAGCATCTTTAACATCACCCAAGAGTTTATAACTGCTACAGAGAAGGTATTTATCTTTCCCTTTTGTCTTCTTTTCCTGTAATTTTTTTCCAGATTTTTCGTTTTGTGACCAAACAGTGTTGATGTGTGTGGTGATATTTTGTGCCACTTTAAACAGATAGGGGGAAGGCCAGGATTTAGCATCAGGGGAACCCTACAGTCACAAGCCAAAGCCTTCATCGAATTTCAGCATGAATCTCGAGTTAGTTTATGATTGTGCATACTTTAGTTCTATTGTTCCTTGTATGTTCCTCGTATGTGGCTTTGAGCTAATTGTTTTTTTGGTTGATTACAGATGGCAAAAATTAAGGCCGTTCTTGACCAAGAAACATGGGTTGAAGTAGATGTTCCTGATGAATTTCAAGTCATTGTCACTTCACTATTTTGTTCTGAATTGGTATCTGAGAACCTGGATGCTATCGAAGGTAATATGGAAACAAGCTATAGGGAGATGGCCACAAGCAGTAATAATTCACATACAGACAATACAGCATCATCAATTGCCGAACAGCAAATTAAACGGGCTGATTCGAGTGACTTATCCGCGGATGAGACTGCGAAAGAGAAGTGTACACAAAATGCTGATGGAGTGGAAAAAAATAAGCCTGATGTCGCAAATTCTGTGGCTCAAAATAACCACAGCAACATGAAGGAGCGGGGAAAATCAACCTCTCAAACCCTTTTCTTCAAAGGTGTTGGTTTTCACATGGTAAACTGGTTAGTTATCTTGTCTTTTTTTCTTGTATCTATATTTCTGCTTCCCCCATTATTCTTTATTTTTTCCTTTGGAAACTTCGGATTTGGATTATGGTGCTTAGGATGTATGTGCTTACTGATATTGTGTTTTTTGTTACACGAATCCTGATTTCCAATTTGGAGTTTTGTTTTGCACTCATCGAGGAACTCATTATTAATATGTATCAATAATTAAAAGAATTTTTTTATTACAAGTCTTTAATTACATTTTCCCTTGCTCTTGGTTTTTTCCTCCAGTGGCTTGATATTGGTGAAGATGTTGTCAGAGTACATTGATATGAACAATTTTTTTCCAGCACTGTCCTCAGAAATTGTTCATCGTATTGTAGAAATTTTAAAGTTTTTCAATACAAGAACGTGCCAGCTTGTTCTTGGTGCTGGTGCCATGCAGGTACTAAATTTCTCTCAGTAAATAGATGATACTATTTAGAAATCCCAAAAAGGTTATCCAACTGAGTTCATAAAATATCTACTGTTGTATATAAATGTGCCAAAAAACTGAAATTGTTCCACTGGACATAAAATATCTTCTTGAGTCCGGAAATCATTGAAGTTTATTTAAATGCTTTTTGATGTTTTTGGTTACTTTATTCAGTTATAACTATTAACCATGCTCTCCAGAGTCGTTCTTGCGCTTTCTGATAAATCGTATGTGGTGCTGTAGGTATCTGGTTTAAAGTCCATCACTTCTAAACACCTGGCCTTGGCAAGTCAAGTCATCAGTTTTACGTATGCTATTATTCCTGGTAGGTAATTATAACTTAAAGTTATTTCTTTGGTTGGTGCTGCTGTAGTAACAAATTTTTGTGAATGCATTAGCTATGTTCTCAACTCAATTATAATGTCACTCGCAGGATATATATATATATATATATATATATATGTAGAACTGTATTTGTACATAGTTCTACTTTGAGCATGGAGTGTTTGAGTAATGTCATGACTTTATTCATTTTCTTTGCTTCAAGAAATCAGGCAAATTCTTTTTCTAAAAGTACCTGAGACAAGAAAGGCACTGTTGCTATCTGAAATTGATCGAGTAGCTCAGGTTTGTCTTTTACACTGGGGAACATATTTAACATTTTCAATGCTAATGTACTTTTTTATTTCAGTTTTGTGTCTTTACTTTTTCTCCCTACTTCTGGAAAGTGATTTAGAGGTTTGTAGTACCATTTGAACTTTCCAGATTTTTGTTATTTGGTTCATTGAACCAGAATGCACCTCTATGTCGAAATTTACAATTAGATTCTTTGAACCCACATGCACTTTTACCACACTATTCGCTCATTCTTTCTTGGGAACCATTTATATGTCTGTTCATTCATTTTAAAACAGGATTACAAGGTTCACAGAGATGAAATACATACGAAGCTGGTTCAGATCATGAGAGAAAGGTTATTAGTTCATCTACGTGGGTTACCTCAAATTGTAGAGAGCTGGAATAGACCTGAAGAAGCTGACCCACAGCCCAGCCAGTTTGCTCGATCCCTTACTAAGGTAAATGTCTTCATTGAAACATTTGGTTTTTGTATCTATTCATCTAAAACCCTCCCTATTCTCTTTATCTCTCTCTCTCTCTCTCTCTCTCTCTCTCTCTCTCCTCTTCTCTTGGGTTTTTTCTAATAATTTTTTTAATTTTTGGTTTTTAATGAGAAACATGTTGGATGGATCTTATTAAAATGCTCTATTTCTATACCTTTTTCCAATGCAAAATAAGTAGTGGTTCCTGGCAGTTTCTTTATCTTGATTGATCTTTATGGGCCTCACCCAACTGATTTCCAGGAAGTTGGATACTTGCAACGTGTCCTAACTCGAACTTTACATGAGGTCGATGTTCAAGCAATTTTCAGGTAAGGCCCACATTAGCATGTGATTAATTGCTGAGGTTTTGGATACTTGCAACATGTTTGTTGTGCATCTACATCTCGTAGCCTCGTTATTTGCAGTAAAAATTTGTGTTTTCCCTTGGGCTTTTGAATTTCCTAGAAAGGTTTCTAACTAGCTCAAATACGTGGAAATGAATTTCGACTCTTGTAAAGAAAACAACAAAGTTGTGCGGCCTTCCAGGGTGTTTCCCCCCTTTTCCCAAGCACTGATTTACACCAAGATTTTAGTATTGGATTAGTATAATGAACTGCTCAATAGTAGAGTGATGTATATGTTTTATTTTGATAGTGAGTTGTGGTGTCATATCAGCACTAAACAAAACAAAAAGTCGTGGTGCCATAAGCTTGGTGTCCATAATATGATAATATAGAAATATAGCGAATTTGCTTGGAAACCTGGTTGAACCTTTCTCTTCCATTGGTTTGCATGCTTTTCACCCCCACATCAATCAGTGTTCTTTGGTTTGATGAAAGGGACAGTCCGTGCTATAATAAAAATTGCTCTCTTGCAACTCAGTGACTACTGTGGCTTGCTATTTTGCAGGCAAGTGGTTATAGTCTTCCATTCACAAATTTCAGAAGCATTTTCACGCTTAGAGATCAGCACACCACAGGCCAAGGACAGGTACTACCTTTTCAATTTCCCCCGTGTGCATGTTAATTATCAGAACTCTTTAGTGAAACATCATTTTTCACTTTGTCTACCAGGCTGTATCGGGATGTCAAACACATTCTTGGATGTATTCGCTCCTTGCCTTCTGATAAAATGAGTGAATCTAGTATTCCAAACTGGGGTCAACTAGATGAATTCGTGGTTCAGAGATTTGGGGCAGAAGCTGGTTAAATGTTGTTGTAAAGTATCAAATCAGTTGCTTCTTTGGAGATGGCTAATCAGATTTGAGGATGTCAGAACCAATTTCCGTCTATGCATTTCCCTTGTACAATTTTATTGAGGTAATTTTAGGGACAATCGTCTCCGTTTATTGTGTCAAGTTATGTGCATGCTGCATGAATTACGTTTGCGCAAGCTTTATTTTTTCCTCTCTCTCTCTCTCTCTCTCTCTCTCTCTCTCTCACACACACACACACACACACACACACACACACACACACACACACTATTTAATTTGTTTCTATTTTGCTTACTGGATGACTTTCTTTTCCAGGTTTTGCATTTTTCTGAGATGTATAAAGTCCTGTATCAGATCCAAATATTGTGACAAGAAGGTCATTGAAACCAGAATTTTTCTGTACCAGTCACACTTGAATTACAATTTGTATTTACTAGGACTCAATCAATGTTTTGTTCCCCCAATTGTAGTTTTGGGTTAAAGATGAAACCAATTGATTTGTTTTTGATTTAGTTAAGGGACAAGAAATATGAGCTTTTAAGTCAACTTTCGGAGCCTGAATCACATCTAATTGTATCCATACTTGAGTTTATGCATACATGTCTTCATAAATGGTAAATAAGAGATATTTTTTTCCTGTACCTTCCTTTGTTATTTTCATCTTTGAGCATTTCATATATGTAGAATTTTAAGGAAAAAGAGTGCCGTAGAACAATTAACCGACTTGAAGGTAAGCAAACCTTAATTAACTGGCTTATTTAGAATAATTTCCTTATTTCCTTATCGTTCTCGAAGAAGCTGAATTTCCAAGGGGAAGAACCGATGGCTGGTTGGAGGCTGAGCTGGGTGAGTTTTTCTGTCAATGAGGAGGAGATGGGGAGTTAATCAAGATGACTGGTTTGGTGGTTAAGTCTGGCGGGATTGAGATCAGGCCCAAAAGTCAGGAGGAGGCCCTCAGTAAAATTTCTGGTAAAAAGAAAATAAAACATAGAACATTTATTGATATATTTCTTCGTAGTTTTGTTGACAAAATGAAAGGAGCTAAATCTTAGAAATTGAGCAAAGGTGACAAAAGGGGAATTAACAATTCAAAATTGTATCACATAAATTGGCACACAATTCCTAAGCGCAAAACTTTTAGCCGAATATGAAAGCAGGCGAGACCGCGATAGGGCTCCTCACATGGTACTTTCCACTCTCAAAGTGTAGTTTTGCTTCTCATACTTGTTACTGAACACCAATCTCTCCGGCGACACTCTTGACAACAGAATTATTTGGTGCTGTAACTTTGACATTGTAAGTGGCTGAGCCATCACCAACGTTGGTTACAGTCCTCTTGAATTGCTTGTCCATTATTGTGGCTGCAGACTTATTGCTTGTCCATTATAAGCAATAAGTCTTTGATCCGACGATACGTTGTCACATGTATACTTGTTTGATCTAGTTATAGCAAAAATTCTCTTGATGTAGTCTTGCCGCGTTGCATCATAAATCATACCCGGATCAAGTGCTCGATTCGTATCCACTTGCCCATCCCCCCCATAGCGAGGGGCGAAGCAACCGTAAAATTGAAACCTTGGTCTCTATTTGGACGTTTGGAATTATCAACGGGGTTAGCTGTGGGCATCAGTGCAGACCTAATAGCAGCTGCGCTTCACGAAACATGAGGGGTAGCCATGGATGTCCCAGAAACCATATGGTACTCATTGGACAAGAAAACATTCTGCCCAATTTGACCAACAGTGTCGTTCGGGATCCAAGCCGCCAAGACGAGAGACCCGGGCGCCATTACATCCGGCTTCAGAATGCCGGGATAGTCTTTTTTAACTACTTTAATTATTGTTTCTTTGGTGGAAAAACAGAATATTTTAAAGTATCGCCGAACGGCTATACTGTATAAATAGAAATTTTAACATTATAGCCGCACGGCTGTAATCTATAAATAGAAATTTTAACAGTAGAGCCGCTCGGTTATAGGCTATAAATAGAAATTTTAAACGTAGAGCCGTTCGGCTATAGGCTATAGAAATTTTAACAGTAGAGCCGTTCGGCTATACGCTATAAATAGAAATTTGGGAGTTTCACTAAAACACCCAAAATGGGGGTTGAAATTATAAAAAAACCCAAGCACTATTTAAACATATAAACACACCCAAAACCCATCACTACACACACTCAAAACCCATTTATAAACACACCCAAAAAGTTGACTTTGGGGTTGATTTTGAGTGTGTTTCTATGTTTAAATAGTGCTTGGGTTTTTTTATAAATACATGTCTAGGATTGGGTTTATTTATAAATTTGTATAGAAATTTTAACGGTAGAGCCGCGCGGCTATACACTAAATAGAAATTTTAACAGTAGAGCCGTTCGGCTATACACTATAAATAGAAATTTTAACGGTAGAGCCGCTCGGCTATACACTATAAATAGAAATTTAACAAGTATATCCGTACGGCTATAGTCTATAAATAGAAATTTTACAAATATAGCCGCGCGGCTATACCCTTTAGGAGTCAGAGCCACAAGTCCAAGCATGGAAATGAAACCTCTGTTGACACGGGAAATAGTGGTAGTACTGGGGATATGTCCACAGAAAGCACAGCTGATGCGCATCAAGCTGTTAATCTCTCAGTTGATTTCTATGGAGTTTGGTGAAGCTATTCCTATATTATTATTTCTGATGTATCAAGAATTTTTTGTTTGAAGAGTTTATTAAAGATACTGACTTTTGACAGAGTATATGTATGAATGAGATTTTGATTTAAAAATTGTGAAATGAAAAGCCAAGTTAAATTGCGTCTAATAATGCTACTGGGGTGGAATGGAACAATAAAAGATTACCACCGATCCAATAGTCAAAACTTGAGTTGATAGCTAAACAATTAGGCAATTAGGCAATGACAGCTAAACAAGGTGTTTTTCGGTCCAAATAATATAATATTAGCAAGATTTAAGTTTCCATCTGACTATATATAGAAAGAGTATATGTTTTCCTGGGCCTGTAGAGTTTTAGAGAGTAATTGGTTTTTCACTTAATTAAGTATTAATGTAAACTGCAATAAATTAATGTTAACCAATGAAAAAGAGTTAACGAGGCAAGGTTTTAACGAGGCTACATTATTGCCCTTCGGCCTTTCAAAGTTGTTTTCTTTGTATATTCTTTCCTCAGTTGAATGAAGTTGCATTTTTTGATTTTTTGATTTTTTGATTTTTTGATTTTTTAAGTAATGTTAACCGAATAGAGCATTATCAAATGAAAGAGAGTCGCAGACAGAGAACTCAAACTCAAAAAAGGTGTGAGAGATGTGCATGTGAAATGGATCTCTAAATAATGATATAATCCATCCAGCCAGGGTCAAATTAACTTTACATGCAATTAGAATTTAGAAATAGATATCCCTTAAAATGTTCAACCATTTCAGAAGCAACATGATTTTTTTTAAAAAATTTAAAGGAGCTAAAGTGGAGAAACTTTGTTTGGTAATTAAAAAGCTGCATTATAGGTCATGTGTTCATCAACATTTGCAAGCTATTGCTTTCCTTCTTGGCGGATGCAGTCATATCATATACCCTTAACTCATTGTCATGCCATTGCCACATAATTGATACCGATGATGATGATGGTGAAAAGCAAAGAGACTCAGTAATTTGGATTTGATTCATTCATGTCTGCTTAACTTCATTCATTCCATTAGAAATAAGAGAGACAGAGACCTTTTAATTTTCTCAATTTCAAACTCTTAGCATGCATAGAATGTGGATTACTTAAAAAATTTATTCTCATCTAAATTGCCAAGCCTCTGAGGCATGACCATTAAGCATCAACTCAAACAAGAGGTGACACTACAATGGGGCTCCTCACAGTGTATTTTCCATTTTGTTCTATCCAAACAAGTGCACCGGATGAAACAGTTCCTTTCTTTTTCGCCTTGTATTTTATAGTCACTGTAAAGCTTTGCTTCTCATATGTCTCCCCAAAGATCAGTATCTCTGGTGAGACTGTCACCTTAGAACCCTTTGGAGCAATCACAGCAGCCTTGTACCTAGCTGCACCTTCTCCCACGTTAGTTACGGTCCTCTGAAATTTTTGAACCTTTGTCTTGGTTTTGTGATGGTCGTTGTACAAGGTGATAAATGATGGATAGTTAAGATCGCAAGATGGGTTGGAACAATCGTAGGCATGTGATCTGGTGATGGCTAAGATCTGCTTCCGGGTAAAATTAGTGGAGCATAAGAGATTGACATAGTCTTGTGGGGTTGCATCATATATTAAGCCCGGTTCAAGTGCTCTGTTAGGATCAATCTGACCTGCTCCCATAGCTAATGGCGAAGCGAAGTTGAAATTATCACCATCGTCACGAATTGGATTGTTGGTATTGTCCAAGGGGTTGGCCGTGGTCATCAAAGCAGACCTAATTGCTGCTGCGCTCCATTCTGGGTGCGCACCTTTCAATAGGGCAGCCACACCTGAAGCATGAGGACAAGACATGGATGTCCCGGATATCAAATTGTAGTCACTAGGTAAGTGCACATTGAAGCCAATTTGGCCGGCTGGAACCTTGGGAGCCCAAGAAGCCAAAACTAATGACCCTGGTGCCATTATGTCCGGCTTCAGGACGCTCGGATAACTTGGCGAAGGACCTCTTGAAGTGTAAAAAGCAGCAGCCGGTGCAGGCTTTGTCCCAATCAACGTTTGTTGGAATTTGATGCTGACAGTAGGCTTAGCACTTTTTTTTGCATATTTGATCACAGGCGGTGCATCCTTTGGATTTACCACAACACTAGGAGATGCAACATATCCTAACTCAAGTATTTCAGGATCATTGGAGATAAAAATGGCTCCAACAACCTGTGATTGAATTATACTAAATAATTGGCTACGAATAGGCCAACTGTCATCGCATATGATGATTGCATCTGGGGCACTTGATAGCAATTCTGTTGAGTTGCATGCTGAGAAGGTCTTGTTGTAAACCAGTGGAAAGTTTTCTACTATGGCATTTGTTGGGAACAAGGTAAATCCAGTAATGGTTAACCCATTGCCGAGGGTTAATGTTCCACCAAATGAGCGGTCCACTGTGCCTGCTGCAACAGTCAAGACCCAAGGGATGCCATTGTGCAATGTCCCAAGGCTGGGGCCTTCGTTTCCTGCAGAAGTTGAAACCACCACACCCTTCTCCATGGCTGCAAAAGAAGCTATGGCTACAGGATCCTCATACAATGGCACGCTATCAAAGCCCGAGGAGATCGAAATAACATCCACACCGTCGGCTATAGCTTGGTCCATACCAGCTAGGACATCAGAGGCATAACGACCCTCATCCCAGCTAACCTTGTACATGGCAAGTCTGGAACGTGGTGCTACGCCTCTAGCTGTTCCTTTAGCATAACCAAAATAAGATGCATCATCTACATAGTTTCCTGCAGCTGTGGAAGATGTATGTGTCCCGTGCCCTTGAGAGTCTCTAGCAGAGTTCATGCTAAGTGTGACACCAGGATTTGCAGCCATGACACCCTTGTTGAAGTATCTAGCTCCGATCAATTTAAAGTTACAAAGAGAGGAATTGAACTCTTGTCCAACCTCACATGTTCCTTTCCACCTAGCTGGAAGTTTCTTGGTCATACCATCATCTCTGAA